ACACACACACACACACACACACACACACACACACACACACACAGAGCTCAAAAAAATAAAGGGAACACTCCAATAACACATCGTACATCTGAATCAGTGGAATATTCACACTGAATACTTTGTTCTGTACAGAGCTGAATGTACTGACAGCATGTGAAAATGTTTGTCAATCAGTGTTGCTTCCTAAGTGGACAGTTTGATATACTTGGAGTTAGCGTGTGTTGTGTAAGTGTTCCCTTTATTTTATATATATATACAGTATATACAGTATATATAAATATATATCTCCCTGCATCGTGCTCAGAGTGTCAGCCTCTCTAATGTTGTTAGAGGACTGATGTTGGAGCTCAGATCAGGAGGAAATGGCTGCAGTGTTGAAAGCAGGCCTGGGTCATGTTTCATAATGGATTTCCTGATGTCATAAACTGTACATCAACAGTCTAATGTTTTCCCATCAGGCCGTAGTGGATTCATTTACCTGTTTCAGCTCACTCACAGCAGGCGGACGCTGCTCCTTCGCCTGTGTTGTCATCACTGGGGCAGAAATGGAATTACAGCTGAGCGTGGTTTCTTGTCTCAGGTGGCTTGGTGATGGGCACAGGCATCGAGTCTTCCTCCCACATTTACGGACTCTTCCAGCACATTTGTGTGGCGTACGAAGTGGTTCTTGCTGATGGCAGTTTAGTGCGCTGCACAGAGGTAAGCCCTGAGTGTGAGTGTGTCCCAATGAAACATGCTTCAGTTTGATGGCTGAACTACTTTGTGCTTCCCGTTTCATAAACAGAGTATTTGTTTATTCATTTAAAAACTTTGTTGTTTGCTTTCTTGTTTCCTGCCATACCCTTTCTCCTGTACTCAGTCTGCATGGAATAAATTATAATTATAAACTAATTTAATAGAATTATTAATAAACTTTTACACATTTTATTCATAATATAATTAGAGGGAACTCTAAGTCCATTTGTAGGACTCATCATGAGAGGTCTTTGTCTGATCCCTCACCTAGTCCCTCCTGAGGGGACTTGGGTCCCTACTACTAATAAACTTTGTACACATTTTTAACTTTGTTTACAATAAAAACAGTAAGAAACACATGGAGACCTATTTTATTCTTCCAAGAACACTGTTCTCTATAAAATATGCTTTTTGTCTTCTGATGCTGCTTTAGTTTTAGCTACTGTTCTGTTAGTTTTAGCTACTGTTCTGTTAGTTTTAGRTYRTGTTCTGTTAGTTTTAGCTACTGTTCTGTTAGTTTTAGCTACTGTTCTGTTTAGTTTTAGCTACTGTTCTGTTAGATTTAGCTACTGTTCTGTTAGTTTATCTATTTTTCTGTTTAGTTTTAGCTACTGTTCTGTTAGTTTTAGCTACTGTTCTGTTTAGTTTTAGCGACTGTTCTGTTTAGTTTTAGCTACTGTTCTGTTAGTTTTAGCTACTGTTCTGTTAGTTTTAGCTACTGTTCTGTTAGTTTTAACTACTGTTCTGTTAGTTTTAGCTACTGTTCTGTTAGTTTTAGCTACTGTTCTGTTAGTTTTAGCTGTTGTTCTGTTTAGTTTTATCTACTGTTCTGTTTAGTTTTAGCTGTTGTTCTGTTAGTTTTAACTACTGTTCTGTTAGTTTTAGTTGTTGTTCTGTTAGTTTTAGTTGTTCTGTTAGTTTTAACTGTTGTTCTGTTAGTTTTAGTTGTTGTTCTGTTAGTTTTAGTTGTTGTTCTGTTAGTTTTAACTGTTGTTCTGTTAGTTTTAGTTGTTGTTCTGTTAGTTTTAGTTGTTGTTCTGTTAGTTTTAACTGTTGTTCTGTCAGATTTAGCTACTGTTCTGTATGTAAACACCAGCAGATTGAACTGAATGTCAGTTTCCACCCACAGGAAGTGTGTGCTGTTGGGTGACAGAGGAGAGAAATGACTTGTTTTGAAAAGAGCCAGCTTCAACACAAGCCTTTTAGAAACTTTAGAAACTTCCACAGATTAAGACTTGTATTAATCCATTCTAGAAGGAAAGTTTGCATCAGTTATTTTATTTTTCATCATTTGAGGTCGTGATGTTTCTGGTTTTAGTAAAATGGTGCAGGTGGATTCTTGTGGTTCTTCTGAAGTGATGTAGAAGTTAAAGGACCAGTCTTGATGAAAAATCACAGTAAAGAAATAAATCATGTATCAGAGGCCAGATTGATGCCATGCAGAGGAAGTGAAAGGCTGAAGTTTATTCCTAAAGCTGTGTACACACCAAACACGCTTTGAACATCAGGTTTACATGTCAAGTCCATGCTGGAGTGTTTTGAAGTGTTTTGATCACTTGACATGGTCATGCGCTGAATGGTGGAGTTAGAAAAGCTGAACTTTTTGCAGCTGGACGCAGAGTGTCAACCAGTAAGACACATTCTCCAATGGGACAGTTTCCTGGATGATGTCCACTAACCTGAGCCAGATGGACAGGAGTTCTTCAGCTGATATCCAGTGCCTGTAGTTGGTGTCCTGGCAGGAGGTATCAGCACCGATGTGGGTCAGCAGCTCATCAAACTGGACTCAGACAAAAATAGTTCTGAAAGTGAGCCTCGTTAGCTCACAACTCCTGGGTGATGAAACTCATCAAACAGACTGTCTCTGAATCATCTGGTGAATTAATTATCTGATGAGTGCGACGTGCTCATGCTCTCAGTAAATAAAGCAAAACCACTTTCTTTATGTCATCGACATTAAACAGACCGGCAGAGGAGGACAGACCGGCAGAGGCTCCTCCTGACACTTATGATGTACCTCCAGCAGTTTAAACGAGTGTCGGACCTCAGAGTCTCAAGTGTCTAACTGGAGGTGTTGGACGCTCGGTGTGAATGCAGCATTAGATGTTCAGGTCCAAAAACCAAAACCTGTCAGAGTTTAGAGTCATCCAGGTGTTTGTCTTTAGGACAGGCAGTTTAAGTAACTGCTTGTATTCCTCAGGTTCCATGCAGAAGTCAGAGTATCATCAGCATAACGACTGAACCCTGCTGTCAGATACTTTTATCTAAGTACATACTGTATAAAGTAAAGGATATTACTCCAAACCCTGAGGTGGATCACAGAAATCTGGAATGGTCCAGTTTGGTCTTCTCATCATTTCCTGATGGTCTGTAAGTCCTCACTGACAGAGACTAGATGTTCAGGAGAATAATGGGTATCTTCTCACCTGTTCTCTGGTAACGTCCTCATCATGTCCTCAGTGTGTGAGCTGTGGCAGTCTGCACATAGTTCCTTCTTCTCTTGAGATGAAGTCTGAGGCTCAGTGAGGTTTGTGGTGTCTCACAGAGGGGCTCAGGAAGTGGTCTTCTTGTGAGATCACCTGTTGTGAGGTGGTCTGGGAAATCGACAGAGAGGTGGTCAGACCCCCTCCTTCAGTAGACCTGTGTTCTGTTGTTGTGTACAAACAGGAGGAGAACTCGGATCTGTTCCACGCCATTCCCTGGTCCTGTGGAACTCTGGGGTTCCTGGTGGCAGCTGAGATTAAAATAGTCCCAGCTAAGCCCTGGGTGAAGCTGCGCTATGAGCCCGTCAGAGGACTGGAGAACATCTGTCAACGCTTTACAGAGGCATCGCAGAACAAGGAGAACACGTTCGTTGAGGGTATCCAGTTCAGTCTGGACTCCGCTGTCATCATGACAGGAACCATGACGGACTGGGCGGAGCCTGACAAGGTGACCGACCACTTGTTGTCACGTCTCCTGTTTGCTTCTTTTACTTGTGTGACATTGGATTTTCTCCTGAACATAAGATTAACAGAATCGGGCTCCACTTCAAACCCTGGTTCTTCAAACATGTGGAGAGTTACCTGTCAGGAGGCTYCAGTGGAGTGGAGTACATCCCTCTGAGGCAGTACTACCACCGACACACACGCAGCATCTTCTGGGAGCTCCAGGTAAAACACACACAGACACACAGGTTTGTATTTCTATCCTTATTAGGGACATTCATTAACTTCCATTCATTTCCAGCAGTTTCTACAGCCTAACCCTGACCACGAACCCTACATTTAACCACTCCAGTACCTCCCTGACCCTATGTTTACCATAAAGCTAATACACATCTTGATCCTAACCCTAATCCCAAAATCAGCCTCCAAACTGTCCTGATGCATCTCAGTAATCCAGGTAAAAAATTAAAAAGAAAAAAATTGTGTAGGTCCTCTGGACGGGTTCTTCT